AACATAATGCGGTTTTATTCTAGTGCCGAAGTTTCCTCAGGATTAACCATCTGAATAGTGTTTTCATCCTGGTTAAATTCTGCATTCGTTGATTCATTGTACTGAGTCTTTTCATTTGTCTGTCTTTTATTAATCGATTTGGAAAATAACCTGAATTCAGAGTGTTTTTCCCCTTGAACAGGCAAGTGAGGACAAGAAGAGAGCCTAGATATGACAATACCAATACGTCTCAACTCTAGCAATGCTATCTAACATTTAGATATTTATGTTGTGTTTTTTTATATTAAATATCGTAAATATTGATTTACACTTTCATTCAAAACACTGGGAAGATTAGGTAAGAAAGAGCATAATGAGCCATTGAATTTTACATAGAAAATAAGGCACACCTAAATTAGTGACGTGAATTTAATGTTCAGGTCAATTAGATGTTGTATTTTATTCATTTGTCAGGTTTTTGTCTTTAAACTGCTCCTGTGTGTTGGATTAGGTTTTTACACATCTCATTCAAAGCTTTCTGTTGTTGTTGTTTTTTTGGTGTGATTTCTGAATGTTCCTGTGAAATTACTGACATTTTTCAGTGTAGTGATATGGAATTGCATTGTGCTCAAAACCTGCCGGAACTACTTTAGAGTGCATTTATGAGCAATATCACACGAGTAGCAGTGCGATATGTTAAGTATATATATATATATATATATATATATATGTATATATATATAACAATATATAACAATAATATAATAAATACTAAATATCTAATATCTAAATACTAAAAAAAATCAGTTTGCAATAATATTTCACAATTATACTGTTTTAACTGCATTTTGTGATGGCAAGGTATTGGCATAACTAATTTAACAAATAAAATTAATAATAATAAAAACATTAAGAAACCATTGTGCAAATATCACACCACCTTATAAATGCCCTTTAATTTAATTTAGTATTTATACAGTTATACCGTTTTTATTTTTAAAAACTGTATTAAAGTCAATATTATTAGCCCCCTTAAGAAATATTTTAGAACAACTGTTATACAGTGACGTGCCTTATTACCCTAACTTGCCTAATTAACCTAGTTAAGCTTTTGAATGCCACTTTAAGCTGAATACTAGTATCTTGAAAATTATCTACTCAAATATTATGTGCTGTCTTTATGGCAACGATAACAGAAACCAGTTATTAGAAATGAGTAATTAAAGCTATTATGTTTAGAAATATGTTGAAAAAGTATTCTTCAAAAAGAGGGCTAAGAATTTTGAAAAAAAGCATTAAATATTTAAAAAACATGAAAATAAACCTAATTTAAAAGAGTTTTCTTATAATATCTGCTTTTGAAGTGTATAATTGCACGTCTGTCATTATCTGAGCCTTCTGAAATCAAAGAAAGATCCAGCGCAGTGAAGAAAAGCAGAGATTTACCAGCGGCTCATATTACTCATTACAGACAGTACAGTTACTCACTGAATATGGCGGACTAGAGAATGTCATCATGATAAACTCCCTGTGACCCTTCAGACAGCAGCAGAAGTGAGCCACAGGTCAGCGTTTATGAGTGTTTAGGAGTTCTGCACAGACAGATTTCAAATGTAAAAGTGTAAAAAACTCGATTCAATAAACTTTTATGACTAAATATGATAAATAGAGACTGTAAAAGATGTTTGAATAATATGCAGCTATGGAAAATATCAATAGACAATTTCGGAATGATCGGTTTTACTGGATTTTTATGAACCACAGACACATACAGCATCTGTTTTACACAGTGGTTGCCCTTCTAGCTGCAACCCAGCACTGGAAAACACTCATACACTTTCACATTCGCACACTACGACCAATTTAGTTTATTCAATTCACCTATAGCGCATGTGTTTGGACAGTGGCAGAAACCGGAGCATCTGGAGGAAACCCACAATAACACTGGGAGAACATGCAAACTCCACACAAATGCCAACTGACTCAACCGGGAACTGAACCAGCGACCATCTTGCTGAAAGAGATTGTGCTAACCACTAGCCCAGCTACTAAACATTTTCAGAAAAAAAAGTATCTATGAACAATGATTAAATATTTTTCGAAAACATTATTAAAGACCACATTGTTTATAATGAACATTCTGTTACTGAGGGAATGTTTACACAAAACTTTAGGAGAACCTTGCCAGAACATTCTGAGAACATCCCCTAACATCTAAGATTAAGGAACATTCCATCTTATTATTTTGCAAACATCTAAGCAAGTTGCAACATTTATAAAACATTAAACACGAACGCTCATGATAATGCTTTTTAGCAACATTTTGATCATATTTAAAGGGATAGTTCACACAAAAATGAAAATGTCCCTACAATGTCCTGACATTTATGTGATTATAAACATTCATGAATTTCTTTTTGTGTATTGTTGTTGTTGAACACAAACAATTTATATAATCTGAAGAATGCTGAGAAAAAAATAGAAATAAAAAAAATAGCCAATAGAAGTCATTATAGAAGTTCGAACAGTTTTGTATTGTTTTAATGCCAATAATTAAAACTACTGTGCATCTGGAAAGTATTGATAGCGCTTCACTTTTTCCACATTGTTTTTATGTTACAGCCTTATTCCAAAACGGATTAAATTCATTTATTTCCTCAACATTCTACACACAATACCCCATAATGACAAGGTGAAAAAGAGTTTTTGAAATTGTTGAAAATTTATTAAAAATAAAAAACCCTGAAAAATCACAAGTACATCAGTATTCACAGCCTTTGCCGTGAAGTTTTGAATTGTTTACTTAGTCTGAGCTCCAGCGTTCTTCTGTGAAGAGAGGTGAACTTTACTGAAGGACAACCATCTGTGCAGCAATCCACCAATCAGGCCTGTATGGTAGATTGGCCAGACGGAAGCCATTCCACGCCTGGAAATTGCCAGAAGGCATCTGAAGGACTCTCAGACCATGAGAAACAAAATTTTTTGGTCTGAAGAGACTAAAATTGAACTCTTTAAAGTGAATTCCAGGCGTTACGTTTGGAGAAAACCAGGCAACGCTCATCACCTGGCCAATAGCATCATGCTGTAGGGATGTTTTTCAGCAGCAGGAACTGGAGAACTAGTCAGGATAGAAGGAGATAATACAGCAGATACATCCTGAATAAAACCTGCCAAAATATCAATGGAGTGGCTTCACAACAACTCAGGTAATGTAGTTGAGCGGCTCAGCCAGAGCCCAGACCTAAATCCTATTAAACATCTCTGGAGAGATCGGAAAATGGCTGTACACTGGCGCTTCCCATCTAACCTTATAGAGCTTGAGAGGTACTGCAAAGAGTAATGGGCAAAAAATCCCAAAGACAGGTGTGCCAAGATTGTGGCATCAAATTCAAAAAGACTTGAGGCTGTAATCGCTGCCAAAGGTGCATTAACAAAGTATTGAGCAAAGGCTCTGAATACTGATGCACATGTGATTTATCTTTTTTTTTTTCAGATTTTAATACATTTTTTTACATTGTTATTGTGGGTTATTGCGTGTAGAATTGTGAGGAAATAAATTAATTTATTAATAAGGCTGTAACATAAAAAAGAAGCACTATAAATACTTTCCAGATGCACTGTATATTGATTTTGTACACCTTATTGGTCTTGTGGGTTTCTACCAGTAATATTTTACCTATTTTGTAATGATTACATCCAAAAGACAAATATTATTCCCACCTAAATGTAATTTAATTCAATATTATATACAGTTGAGGACAGAAATTTTAGCCCAGCATGTGAAATCTTATTAATTTTTTTAGGTCACAAGTGCTCTGGAGAGAATTTTTGCAACACATTTCTAAGCATAATAGTTTTAGAAACAAATAAATTTTATTGTGTTTTTGAAAAAAAAAAACAAGGTACATTACATTGCAGATATTCCGTAGCAAATATATTTTTGTTTAGTTTTTATTTTCTTTTTTTTTTAAATCACAAACTAATTTAAGACAAAAAAAAGTTGCGTAACAAAAAATTTATAAGAAAAATAAATAAAATAAATTAATTAAATAAGTCACATAAATTAAATAAATAAATAAAATTTAAATAAATAAACAAACAAGTAAGTAAATGAATTGAAAAGGCTAAATTGGCCGTAGTGTATGTGTATGAATGCAAGAGTGTATGTTTCCCAGAGATGAGTAAAACATATGAACACACAATTGAACACACATTCGAGTGTGGCAACCCCAGATTAATGGAAATAAATGAAATAAAATAAAATAAATTAAATTAAATAAAAAAATAAGTAAAATAAAAAAATAAATAGAAATAAATAAAAGTAAAAAAATAAAATTTAATTAAATAAATTTATTAAAAATAAAATAAAAATTTTATTACACAAGCAAATAAATAAAAGATAATAAATGTAATAAATAAATAAATATAATAAATAAATATACATAAATTTTCCCAGTAATGGGTTGCAGCTGGAAGGCCATCCGCTGCGTGAAAACTTGCTGGATAGGTTGGCGGTTCATTCCGCTGTGGCGACCCCAGAATAATAAAGGGACTAAGCTGACAAGAAAATTAATGAATGAATGATTGAATGAATATACATAAATATATTAAATCAATAATTGTTCTGCAGCCAATTAGAACATATATATTTTTAAAGAGAACTAATATTATTGACATTAGCAGTTTTACATTTTTTTAAGCCAAAGTAAAAGAAATAGGACTTTCTCCAGTAGAAAAGTATTACTATATACTGTGTAATGTGAATGTTTTCATGGTATTTGTCTTTCTCCATTAAACAGCACTTGGCAAATAATTTGAAAAAGAATTGGAATTTCACAGGATTTTAAATTATTAAATATTTTTAATAATAATTCTGTCCTCACCTGTATCATCACTCCAAAACAAGCTCTGAAATCATCATACAAGCACACACACACAGTTGTCAGCCGATCTATTAATAAACACAATGCACCACTACAGAGAATGTCTTCGACTATTGTTCATGTATGTGTTCACGTGTGCATGTGTGTGTGTGTTCAGCTTATAAAACGCCACATATAGTGTCATGTGATCTTCAGATAACTTATATATCAGTGGGTTTTGGCTTTACAGCATACAGCCTTCAGAAACAGAGTGGAAAATAACACCATCTGACTGAGCCAAAACCAGGTAAGACCATCATCTGCATGTCTCCAGCGTAAGCATGATGTTTTTAAGTGGTAATTGCTGTAAAAGCTGACTGATTCCTTTGTAATCTACTGTATGTATGAAACAGGTCATCATCTAAACATGTCAGAGGGCGTTGAGCATGAGTAAGTTGTTAAAGATGATTTTCATATGAATATGCATGCAAGTTTATCCGGAGCTTGATCAATCAAGCATTTATGTAAATAATCCTCCTTTTTTTTTTT